CAAATTTCCCAATATCTGACCCAAACTTATTTCATATTCTTTTGTCCTTTGCCCACTTCCCTTTGCTTCTCAGCCCTTGTTCTACATCACTGCTACTATGAGACTTCGACATCATGTCTTGCAGCTACCTGGAACCTCTTTGTCCCCAATTCTCATATGTTGGTTTACTTCTGGTCATTCACTGGTTGACTTAAACTCCATTGCACCCACCAGTCTTTTGTCATTTATTTATTTTGCACAATTTTTTCAAGTCTAATACCTTCCTCCCTGGACTGAAAAAGCCCACTTATCCTGTTCAATACTAGTTCTCGAGGGTTTGGTACACATATATTTTGGTGAATGAATGGTTAAACCTTGTTTTCTGATTCTGTAAAAGGGATATGTCACATCCTAGGTTAATTCTGCCACATGGATAAATCTCTTACAGCAAATCTCCTGTGTGATAGCATTTCTAAGACGACTTGGGAAGTGGAGTGGTTTGTTTTACAGGAGCCGTTGCTAATATAGTTTTCAAGAGCACATGTCTAACATGAGAACTATTAGTTCTCTGTCCAGATTCCCTGAAACATTTAGTCCTTACAATCCAAGTTCAAACTGACTTTCCACTGGCTTTGTCTGGCTATCCAAGCCCTCTCTGCCATTTAAGCAGCAGGACAGAAAGGCTAGGGAAATAAAGTCCTCAAGAGCGCTCCTGCACCAAGGACTGATGTGAGGTGATGGCAGTTAATATTTAAATAATCTGACTCAGTATCTCCTCTTGGGTGAGATCACATGGGGATGCACCTCCCATCGTTTCCTCAGTAGGATTGCCCTGCAGCCCTCCACAGTGGTCACTGGATAAATGCTGCATCCTACACTGGCTGCCTTCTTTCCTCGATTCACTTTTCCACTCCCTTTGCTGGTTTCTTTTGCTTCCTAAAAAAAAGCCATGTGCACTCAGAGGCTTTCACCAGAGAATGCTTCGAAGGGAATCTAAAGAAAACATGCCATCATGCTCCGGTGTCCAACACTAGAACGAAAACACCTATTTTGGGACAGATGTGTGAACATACATGGAGCGTCTTTGTTCTACACTTGCTCCACTAGTTTCACCCTATTGGACCCTAAGGGAGAAAACATAGAAGAATGTGCAAGAGGCAGCTGCTTGGATACAGGAAGGATTTTTCAAGTATATTCATCTTAGTTTTAGAGGAAGTCCCAGACACAGTGAGCCACCCGACACTGAAAGGGAGAGAAAACAGGGATCAAACACTGTGAGCAAGACGCAGTCAAAGGAACATCCACATGCACATTGCTGCTGCTACTTTGCCACTTTCTGTCCTACAGTGCTCAGTAGCGAAAGACTAGGGTAGGGTCTTAAATAAGAAGTAAGCTAGGGACCATGGGGTGAGTATTCTCCACCATGCCGCCCCCCCCCACACACACACAGGTTCTCTAATGCAGGAAGAGAACCACTAAGCCAACTCATTGCTGCTAAGTCCATTCTGACTCAGTGACTCTGGAGGACAAGGTAGAGCTGTTCTTTTGGCTCTCTGTACCCCTGTATGGGTGCAGAGACCTTTAGCTTATCCTCAGGAACAACCAATGGGATTGAAATGCTGACCTTGCAGTTAGCTCTGTCCAAGTGCTGACCCATTATCCTCCCAGGACATCTTGAGGGGCACCATAAACCAATCTCACTGCCATTGAGTTGATTCCAACTCAGCAGCCTATTTCCGAGGTTGTACCTCTCTTCGGGTAAGCGAAAGTTGCAGCTTTCTTCCTAGGAGAGGATGGTGGTTTCAAACTGCTGACCTTGTAGTTAGTAGACCCATGTGTAACCACTACACCACCAGGGCTCCTTGTAATGGAAACGGCAGATGTGCGGCTATCTCCAGGTTGGAAAGCAGGGGAGTGTTCTAGTCCCCAAGTAGGCTGAAAGATGGGGGTGAACAATGTCACCTATCAAGGAATTCAAGTAAAGTTAACAAACTGAGGTAGTTAGTTTATTGTGCCAACCTGGCCAATAAAGACATATGAATGTACCCAGACTAATACACAACCACTCAATTCCTTAAAACCTCAGATGCCATCATGAGAATTGTTACACAAATCTGAGATTCTTCTTTTTTTTTTTTTTAATCTCCCCAAACTACCATTTCCCAGGCCTCAGATCCAATAAATCAGAATCTGCAGGTGAATCTATAGTTAAAAGCCTCATAAGTACTTGTAATTCCCAAACCCATCAAATCCAAACAAGAAAAAAGTTGGCCTGGTGTGTGCTACAACCAATAACTCCTCATTTACGTCTTATTCAGAAGTTTCTGATTAGAAGTAAGAATGGCGTCCAAATTCTTGATAAAGAAACCTCTGCCTCAAAGGGCATAGTTTTGTTATCTGTCAAATATAAGCCTAAGAGTGGCAGTTTCTGTGTCACTATGCAGAATGGTCAAGTAGACTTAAAACATCAGTGGGTGCCAACTGAGGTTTCTGACCTCCTAAGGATCTTACTTCAGGGAAAATCTATTGAGGAAATCCGTGGCAGATCTATCATTGGCTTAAGGCCAGCAGCTTTTCTTTATTTCTTCACTCTTGAACTCATGAACTTTCCCTGACTGCAAACAATGCTTTAAGCAGGAGGAAGCTAGATGCTGAAAAAAATTGTTCTCCATCTGCAATTGCTCCCGTAGAGTGTTGGCGTCAGTACTTAACCAGTGTAGCCCACAGGGATTGGCCCCTGACTCAGTCAATGTACAGCTGCAATATTAACTCAGGGTATGATTTACAACGGATCCTTTTTCTGGTGTAATTGCTGACGGACTTCTGGCAATGAACCCAATCTTTGAGAGAGAAATTGATCTTATGCCAAAATGTTGGATATAATAAAGGACATATGTATATATCGGTAATATAAGAAAGAGAGATGGAGAATGGACAGCTGGGTAGGGCTAACATATTTAGGGAAAGCATTTCATCCTGGCTTAACCATACTTCCGTTATGCTTTATTAAAGTGTTAATGTTCAAGTCAGACCAACATGGGTTTGAATCATAGCTTTCATTTAATTTGTCATGTGCCTTCTCAAAAATGAAATGAAAATAGTATATCTAGGTTATCAGGAAGAGTAAATAAAAGATGACCTACAGATATCATCACTCAGTGGCCGCAAAGAGTAGGCACTTGTTAAATTTGCATGAATCAGGTCTCATGGACCCAGACAATGGTAGTTGGTACACAAACCACAACCAAGGGACGCTCACCAATAGTCCGTGGAGCGATGCCACCACATTTTGCAACTATATTATGGGCACGGCTGTAGGAAACTTCATTTACAAGTCAATGCATACAGAACTTATATCTTTGTATTATGTTCACTCGATCTCCCATAATGTTTCATAAACACACACACACACCCTCAGACATAACTTGGACTGTAAACTCCAGAAACCTCTCCTATGCCCTGCTCCCCCCACCGTAAATAACGTTCTGCTGTCGTTTTTATCTTTTAATGGTTAATGAATTCCAAGTAATAATTGCTAGTTTTCTGCCACCCCTCTGTCCCCCTGCTGCCAAAGATCGCATGGATTCGGAGTCCGATCATTGCAGCGCCGTTGAGAGAGGAAAGAAATCAGTGCGTCTCACCGCTGTTGTGCGCCTCCAGCTGCGAGGCGGAGTTGACGGCCACCTTGCACAGCGAACAGTACAGCAGCCGCTTTGCCTTTTCTTCTTCAGTCTCTGTGGAAGGGCACGCGCTATTGCCAGCGGCTGTCGTGGGGCTTTTCTCCACTTTTGAGGGGATCTCTGTTGTCAGAACACTGCTTTTGCGGATTTCCACAGTTGTCGTTGATATTGCTGGTGTCCCTGCAGTACTGTCTGCATTCAAAAACAGCATAAGAAAGAAGAGAAAAAAAATCCAATGGTTTTATCGTTCCCTATTTGGAAATGTAGCATTATATCCTGCTAATAATGATAAGAGCAGCCACCAATTACTGCTTGTCAACGATGTGTGTCCATCATTCCATGAGGATATTTACAGACCAAACATTCAGGCCATCTGAGAAAATACACTTCTATGTTCATGTTCTAGTTACACATATACTTTAAATGCATCCACAGGTTTTTCTTGCAAACAAAGGGATTGAATAATATTTATAATGCACTATACTCTCTCTCGATATATATATTTCTACATTGATGACTTTTAAAAATTAAAAGAGGATACATATATTTAAGATAGTTTATTACTTGCCTCTCAATTTTCTTTCAATATTTAATTGAAAAAAAGTTTCTGATCTATTTGTATGTATTTGTACAGATTAAATGTAACCCAACGCCATGTGGCTTTACCCAGATCAGGAATTCACGAAGTCATCGTCCTTATTTACAAAGTTGCATATTTAGCGTCAGGTACATCAGCATCCAAATAAGCAAAATTCGAGTCGAGCACATTTACAAAATGCGTGCATTGTCCCTGACTGTGCCGGGGGGTTGCAAGCGGAGTATGAACATCACAACCATCCCCATACTGTTGTCACTACGTTAATGTCACATCCTTTCCCGAGTTTGGGTCTGATGACCAGGAAAGTGAGGGTCCGGCTCACCTTACCAGTCTGTTGGCTCCGAAGTCTGACTCTAAATCTGGAGAGCTCACCCTCCACTGTGAAATGGCCCAGCATTACCTTCCCATGAGCACACACGGGGCATGCTATTAGAAATGTTTGCCATTTACAAAACATAGATTGAAAATAAGTTCTATGCTCATGTCCTAGCTACACTTATTTCTCTCTCTCTCTGTGTGAGAGAGATAAGTTCTTGAATTCATGTTCAAAAATATTTCTAGGTTGCCTTTCTGAGCTACTGGTGTGCTCAGAACTGTTTCTCATCCCACATGCTGCTATAAAAACTCAAACTCATTGCCATTGAGTCGATGCCGACTCAGAACAAACTTCAAGGTCAAGGAAGAACTAACACCTGAGAGCTTCCATGACTATTAACTATTGATGAGTCTAAAAAGCTCCATCTTTCTCTGGTGGAGTGGCTGGTGGTTTCGAACGCAGGACCTTGCAGAGTGTAGCCTAGCACATAACCAGGACACCACAAGGGTTCCTTACTCTTAAGGCCACATTAAAAACTTCAGGAAAAAGTGGGCTGGGCAGTGGGTATCAAGAGCAGTGGACTCCCTGCAATACAATGTGTTTGTTTGCTTGAGGGCTTAATTCTCTTAGCCCTTATCATCAAGGTGTCTCCTTTTATGAAGGGATAGAGTAGGAAATATAAGTGAGACACCCCCCGCCCCCCACACACACCCATCAAGCACTCTAGTCGATAAGAAGAGAAATGGGCTGTTGTTGAGGGCTATTTTATAAGATGATTCATCAGGATCTTATTACATTTGCCTGACACTTTACACACTAGTGGTCACTTATTTGGTGACTAAGATCAAGTAAGTATCCTGCAGTCTCACGTAAAACATTTAGCAATCATGAAAAAATATATATACTGGCTGTAAGGAATAAAATACAACTAAAACTACTCAAATACCACATTCTTCTATAATACATGTGTCCACTTGAATGCTGACAAGCCTGATTCCTGATTAATTTATAACTGACCACGAAGGGACCAGTCTAAAAATGCCAATTAATAGCCAGAAAGTATCTCTGAGAATCCAGAAATTGCACACATACAAAAAGACTATTTTAAAGGTGGCTCCCTCATTTTCCATTGCCCCCCATAAAACAGGAACAATTGCTTACATATATGTGCTTGTGTATAATTATCAAATGGTCAGGTAAATTACTAAGTGCTTTACATAATTTCATTTTACCTTTGAACAACCTGCGAAAATGGGAAATTAAGTAAAAGTCCTAAGATCATGAAAGTAGTATTTCACAAGCAGGAGCAAAGAATTTCATGGAATAAACAAATCCAAGATTTGGGAGAAAACACAAAACGTTGTGAATAACACTCTCATCTATATGACTATGATTTTCCAAGCAAGATCATAATCATAAAATGCCAAAACCACTAAACTATTCTCACAAACAGTTCTATGGGGAGTGACAAGGATAAATATGATATTAATGTTTAAAACATGCAACCCCACAGGGGAGCCTGAGTAAGCGGTGCATATTTCATTGAAATCTATCATGGTAAGAATACCTTATTCCAACAACTCCTCCCCTGACTGACAATGCTTATTTTATGGTTTGAACTAGAAAGTGTACATGGCATGGTTATCCTAAACTAATTTTTCTATTTACAGTGAAATTTGCTAACAAAAGTATAGAATAAATAAATCTTCCAATCCCCATGCCAGCTAACTTATTCTCCTTTATGATCTCAGAGAATAATGTATATTTATACTAAACGTGCCACCAGATTAAAGACATCAAATTGTCTATGCCCTGGGGTTAGTAAAGTATTAACATCTCTGAAAAGCAAGTCCCAAGCATGAGATAGACTTAAAGGAATTAACATCCAAATGCTCAACTCAAGCCCTCCGATGTTGTAGCCCACTGATATATAAGCAGCTCAATTTTTACTTGAAATTTAATAGACAGATTTGACTCAATGAATGGGGGATGACTACTCATTTATAACAAGATATCAAGGAGGTGTTTTGCTTTTAAACTAAATGGTAAGGTAAATATATATATAAATATTTATATATTTTAAACTTTTTTAATAAA